ACCGAGCACACTGCACAGAGGGGAAAGGGCGAGCAGGGCAAGGTCACGGGCTACTGGGCAGAGCTGGCTGTAACCCACACTCCTGTGCTAGCCTCTCCACAGAGCCTCCCCAGGGACACCATGCACAGCCCAGAGGGGCGGGAGGAATGTGGTGACAGCTGGGGAGAGGTTTTTGTGGTTTTTTTAAAATTTGTTTTAATCCTCACCTGAGGATATTTTTTCCATTGCTTTTCAGAGAGAGAGGGAGGGAGGGAGGGAGGAAGGGAGGAAGGGAGGGAAGAGAGAGAAACATCAATGTGAGAGAGACACATTGACTGGTTGCAGGAGGGAGGGAGGAAAAGAGGGAAGGAGAAAGAGAAACATCGATGTGAGAGACACATCAATCAGCTGCCTCTTGCACACACCCCGACTGGGGACAGGGAGCAAACCTGCAACCCAGGTGCGTGCCCTTAACTGGGACTTGAACCCAGGACCCTTTGGTGCACAGGCCGATGCTCTACCCACTTAGCCACACCGGGGAGAGGTTGTAAACAAGGCTGAAAGGGAAGCAATGAACAGTCCAGACAGGGAAGGAACAGGAGAAAAGGGCCACGGGCCGCTGACCCCTGCCAATCCGCTCCCAGGTAATGAAGACAGGAGGAGAGTTACTCAATTTTCCTGAGTACACATTTTCTAGAAACTGCTGCTCAGCAAAGAAAACATTAAAACAGAGGGTAGGAACTCATCCGCTGAGGCAGCCCATATCCACTGTCGCTGCACCTATGACCAGTGGCTCCTGCTGCAGCCGCGGGGATTCCCAGGAGCAGGCCACACACCGATGGGGACCCAGAAGTCGTGTCACCTGCCTTCTCTGTTCGCCTGCCAATGCCCCAGTGTGCCAGGGGATGCTGACAATGTTTCTCCACTTTATAGATATAAGACAGAGTAGTTACCTTGCTCGGTGTCACACAAATAATAGAAAGCAGAATGGTGGGGCTGAGATGACAACTTTGTTGTTGTTTTAAAGGGACTTATTTAAGGCACAACCTCAAAGACAGCTAACTGGGTTTGAAGAGAACAAATGACAGCCAGACCATATCACCAAGGCAGAACTGCGGCTGGGACTGGGGGCCCCATCCTGTCCCTCTGCGGAGCCCCAGCTCTCCTCGGGGCTCCAGGGCCCCTACTTTCTTAGGTTGGGGTGGGATGAGCCTCTCCAGGGCAGCCCAGGAACTTCGGCTGCCTCCAGGGTGTTTTGATAACTCAACCCCCGAGAGGACTCTGGACAGGGCTCTGGTCCGAAAGCCAGCTGGTGCATTCTAAACAATGGCAAGGGGTGTTGTAGTGAGGGAGGCTTATGAATTAAAAATAGATGCTAGTAATCACCAGGGAGCTTGCAGAGAGCATGTGGGGCTGTGTTTACTCGAGAGAGAAGAATACCTCCTATTCATGCCAGAGACCAGGGGGGAACCACCACAGCTTCCCACACCAACCAATGGCCTCTGGGTCTGGGGAAGTCAGCTGACAGAGCAGGGCCCCCTCCCTGACCTGGAAGGACCCCCCCAGGGCCACACCAGTCCCTGGAGGGACAGCTCCAGGTTAGGCAGCTGTGTAACCGAGGGAAATGTCAACAAGGAGATCAAGCCACCCTCCCTGGGCCGAGGCAAACCTGCTCACGGGAGATCTTGCATAAAAACATCGGATCTAGTCTCCTCCCTGCCATGAACTAGCTGGGTACCCTCAGACAAGCAGCCCCTTGATTCCTCCCTCTAAGCCTCAGTCTATCCAGCGGTAAAACGCAGATCATAAAGCCTGCTTCACAGGGATGTTAGTAAGATTAACCAGGCAGTGCACGTGACAAAGCTTTGGGGAGCTGAAAGCTTTCAATAAGGATAGAAAACAATCACAGGAACAACCATTTCCCCCAACACCACCCTGACCCCAGTCAGCTCACCCAAGAGTCTCTGGGCCTGGCCTCGGCCGGCAACAAGAAGAGAACCCTGCCTGCCCTCTGGGTATCTCCAGGGCACTGTGAAGGCCAAATACGAGCCACATGGAAAACCCTGGGGAGAAGCCCCCGCCCCCATGCTCCCAGTCAGCAAACATCTACAACCCTCCCAGCTTCCCCCGGGGCCCACCGCCCACCCGCTCCATCTGCCCCAGGAGCAGAGACTACCGGTCCATGTTCTCTCTTGTTAAAGTACAGTCGCTGTAGCACCAGAGACCTTCACTTAACAGGGCTGTTCTAATTTGATTTTTAAAATGTATTCGCTGACTCAGCAGTGAGACGTGGGCCTGGCTGCCTCACATGCAGGGCTGACGGTTGTGCTGGGCCCCTCGGAGCCCCTTGGAGATACATCCAGATCTCACTCTTGGAACAGACTTCTTCACAGTTGAAACTTTGCTTGCGAATGGTCCAGCGCCACCGTTTTAAACACTGTCTACACACTGACAACTCCCCGGTGTATGCCTCCAGCCTGGACCTCTCCCCGAGACTCCAGATTTATTTGTCTGATTGCTTAGCATTTCCTCATGGGCGTTTAATAACCATCTCACATGTAGCATGTCTAAAACCTCCTCCGTTTCTACCCCCACAGCCCTTGCCAAATATCTGTTCCATTGGCTGCTTTCCCCCAACTCAGTTCAGGGCAATTTCTTCTTTCCAGCTGCCAGGCCAAAACCACGCAAGCCATCTTTGCCTGCTCCCTGTCGTGCCCCACATCTGTCGGAAATGGATGTAGCTTGATCTCTGAAGCAAATCCAGAACCCACCACTTCTTACCCCCACCCGGCTGCAAGGCATCACCTCCCCTCTAGAGGCTTCCAGCACTTTCTAGCTGGCTCCAGGCTCATGCCCTGGTTCACAGCACGTTCTCCACCCAGCAGCCAGAGTGATCTTCTTGAAAGGTGTCTCTCATTTGTATAAAAACCTTCTAATGACTTCCCATCTCACTTGAGAAAAAAAAAAAGTCAAAAGCCTTTTTCCTGGCCTACTGGGCCCTATGTGATCTGTAATCCTCCCTGACCATCTTTCAAAAACCACGCAAAAAAATAAAATGAAATAAAAATAGAAACCACTCAAAATAAAATTGCCCCAACCCCACATCACTGGCCTTTCTCCTCCCCAGACTACACGTGCTGCCACCCCATCCACCAGCTCCCTCAGTGGCCTGGAACTGGTTTCTTGCTGGTTACCAGTGGCCCCCACAGCCCCACCTTGATATTACTACCCATCTACATTCCCAAACCCAGATCTGACCTGCACCCCGGCCACACTCACTCTGTGGACTACTTCCTCCTCCTCCAAATGCCTTTCTCCTCTGGCTTTGGCCTCCTCTCTCCTACATACTGTATGGCTGCTCTGTCCCTATATGTCAGATCCGCCCTTGGTCTCCTTCTCACTCAACACATGCCCTCCCGGAGTCTCATCTACACCGACTTCAAGCTCAGTGCTGACTTCCGGGGCGCTAGACCCAGCCCAGACCTCACCCCATGAACCCAGCTGCCATGGTGCTCTGTAGTTAAACAGCAAAATTGAATTTACCACTTTCCTCCCAAACATGCTCCTTCCGCCCGTGTTTCCTAACTAGGGAAAGGCCCGTCCCTAAACCCTGGAGCCAGCCTCTCCACCTTCCCTTCTTCGTCTTCCATATCCATGTCTCCACTTGCACTATTGGTTCTAATGCCAAGTGTCTTCTGACTATGTTTCCTCTCCATGTCTCACTGGCCTCAGTCTACCTGTCAGTCCCCCAAAGTGCTGGACTCTCCAACCACAATGAGCCCCTAGGACAGTGGTTCTCAACCTTCTGGCCCTTTAAATACAGTTCCTCATGTTGTGACCCAACCATAAAATTATTTTCGTGGCTACTTCATAACTGTGATGTTGCTACTGTTATGAATCGTAATGTAAATATCTGATATGCAGGATGGTCTTAGGCGACCCCTGTGAAAGAGTCGTTCGACCGCCAAAGGGGTTGCGACCCACAGGTTGAGAACCGCTGCCCTAGGAGCCTCTGGCCCCAGCTTTTGTACACACTGCACCTTCCCTCTCTGGTCCCCTCCACCCAGTTCTTTGCTGCCTAAATTATATTTCTTCTTCAAGACTTAGCTTGATGGCTTCCTCCACAAGGTCTGTGCCAACTCCTCCTTCCCCTCCAGCCTCCCTGTCCTGAAGCTCCCACGGCCTCTATCACAGCCTCATCACCCCATCGGTCCACTCGCCCCGCTGTCTCCCCGCTACTCAGTGAGCTCCCTGAGGACACGCCTCTGGCTTGTTCACTCTTATAGCACAGAACAAGCTACGATAAATACCTGTTACATGAACAAGTTCGGGAAGTACCAAACTAGACTGGCTCCTTGCTGAACGGCACTTCATGGATCCCGCCCCTATCTTCTTTGGTTGGTAATAATAATAAAAACGCTACTGTACCAGGCTCCATTCCAAGTATGTTACACATATGAAGCCATTTACTCCTACA